GGGCTCTCATCATGTTGTTTTTTATGAAGGTGTCTTTCCTTATGTTGATAAAAAGGTGCTACCTTCATTAAAAGATCCTATGCCAACCCCGAGTTCTACATTGAGGATGGTTCCTGGAGCTAGTAATCTCCTTGGCAATTGTTCTCGTTCTCAAAAGGAAACTCCACCTCATGTTTGTGCACATCCAATCAACAACTCTACTTCATTTCCAACTGCTCTTGTTACTGGTGCTGATCAACATTCTCCTGTCTTGACAAGAGATAATAATGAAGTCCAATCAGTATTATTGGACTTACCGAATCAAGAAGTAGAGCATCATGCAAGAGACAACATATATGCTGTTGAACTTCAACCATGTAGTGATGTCGTGAATTTCATCCCATTATAACAAGAAGCAAGCTGGGTATTTTCAAACCCAAGATTTTTTCGGCTGATGCTATCTCCTTTGAAGAAGAGGTAGAGCCAACATCGATTTCTCAAGCTTTTTCTGATCCACCATGGAAACAAGTTGTTCTTGATGAGTACAATGCTCTATTGAAAAATTCTACATGGCATCTTGTATCTCTTCCACCCGATCATGTGGCCATTGGGTGCAAATGGTTATTCAAAATCAAACGCAATGCTTATGGTACTATTGAGCGGCGCAAAGCACTATTGAGCGGCGCAAAGCACGATTGTATCTTTCCACCCGTCCTGTTGTAAGGTTGTCTACGTAAATGTTGTGTTATCCATAGTTGTTTCAAATAAGTGGGTGTTATGTCAAGTTGACGTTAACAATGCCTTCCTCAACGGAGAATTGAGTGAGGAAGTGTTTATGCTCCAACCTCTTGATTTTGAACAACAATCACTTGATGACAAATCATTAGTGTGCAGGTTAACAAAAGCCTTGTATGACTTAAAGCAAGCCCCGAGGATGTGGTATGCAAGATAAAAATAGTATCTTGTGTAGCAAGGGTTTAAGGAATCTGCTGCTGATGTCTCTTTGTTCATCTGAAGTTCTGGAGGCACTTGTGTATTCCTACTCATCTATGTTGATGATATTATCATCATCGGTGGCTCCAAGAGTGTGGTTGAAGAAGTTATTCTCTGTCTTGGTGTTCAGTTTTCTCTGAAAGATCTTGGGGACTTATGATTTTTCTTAGGCATTGAAGTTACTAGAACTCGTGATCATCAAATGCTTCGCCAACAAAAATTCATTAAACAGTTGTTAGCAAAAACCAAAATGGATGATGCAAAACCAGCTCCAACACCGATGCTAATTTTTCCTAAGCTCACAGGCAAGTCTGGTAAAATGCTTGATAACCCTCAGTTTTTCAGAAGTATCATTGGAGCCTTACTCTATCTCACACACACTCGTCCGGATAATATTTAGCATTCATAGAGTTGCTCAATACATGCATACACCATGTGAAGGACATTGGATAGCAGTAAAGAGGATTTTACGGTATTTACGTGTCACGCTTCATCATGGACTTGTTTTCCAGGCAGGATCTCCTTCAAAGGTAATCGCCTTAGCTCACGTTGACTGGGCGAGCAATGCTGATGGCCGCCGATCAATGTCTGCTTCCTGCGTATTTCTTAGCAGCAGCCTAATCTCATAGAGTTCTAAGAAGCAACGAACAATTGCTAGATCAACCACCGAGGCTGAATTTCGTAGTATCGCAGATGTGGTCTCTGAAGTTGTATGGGTTAAGACATTACTTGCTGACATGGGGAAAAAACGAGTGCAATTCCTATAGTATGGTGCGACAACACAAGCGCAGTAGCAATGAGTGCTAACCCTGTATTTCATGCAAAATGAAGCATGTCGAGCTCGACATGTGCTTTTTTCGTGAGAAGGTAGCGGGAAAAGACCTGAACGTTAATTACGCACCTGCTAATCATCAAGTTGTTGATGGTTTAACCAAACTGTTGACTAAATCCTCTTTTTCAGAGTTTCGGCAAAGAGTTCGTGTCATGGATAATGAAGGATCAGAGTAGTAGGGAGAATGTTGAGCCAATATGAGAGTTGTGCTACGTGGAGAGTTGGTTAGAGTTGTGCTACGTGTGAAGTCTGTTGCATGAGCTGGCATGGTTGTTATAACGTAATATGACAACTTGTTACAATTCTAGAAGGAGTCTAAGCCTATAAGAGGAGTCTTTGTGTAAACCAGAAGAAATAAATGAGAAATACGTTTTTTTATTCATTTCTTTATTTGTTTACAACACGTGAATGAATTGGAAATTGATGAAGAATTCGAGAGCTTTGCACAGGTCGGTAGTGAGATAGAGTGCTTTCACTAGCGAGGAGCAAGCTTGGGAGATGATTTATGCGTGGATTTGATAAACTGTGATGCTGTCATTGAGTTGAAAGAGATTGCGGACTGGATGATCCGGTCTGGGTATGAGAAAGAGTGTGTTCAAGCTTATTGTAATGTTAGGCATGATGCTTTGAATGAGTGTTTGCTAATTCTTGGAGTTGAGAAATTGAGTATCGAGGAAGTTCAAAAGATTGAGTGGAAATCATTGGATGAAAAGATGAAGAAATGGATTCAAGCTGTTAAGCTTACTGTATGGGTTCTTTTGTATGGAGAATAGAGGCTCTGTGATCTGATATTCAATGGCTCCGATTCGATCAAAGAGACGTGTTATAATGAGACAGCAAAAGGGTGTATAATGCAGTTGTTGAATTTCGGAGAAGCTGTTTCTATTGGGAAAAGATCATTTGAGAAGCTGTTTAGGATTCTGGATATGTATGATGTGTTGGCCGATGCATTGCTGGATTTCAGGATGACGGTTATGGACGAATTTGTGTGTAGTGAGGTGAAGGGAGTGCTGGCAGAATTAGGGGATGCGGTGAAAGGGACTTTCATGGAGTTCGAGAATGCCCTGAAGAATGACGCTTCAAAGATACCCATGCACAATGGAGATTCATCCTCTTACACGTTATGTGATGAATTATGTGACATTGCTACTGGATTGGAGGGTGAAGATATTGAATTGGAGACCAAAACTCCGTTCGCAAAATTGTTGTTGTCGTTGACATCGTATTTGGAAACCAATCTCGGGGAGAAATCAAAGCTGTATGAAGATGGTGCTTTACATTTCGTATTTTTGATGAACAATATTCTGTATATAGTACAAAAGGTGAAGGATTCGGAGCTAAGAAAGCTTTTAGAAGACAATTGGGTTCGTAAACGAAGTGGCCAGATACGTCAGTATGCCACGAGTTATCTAAGGGCTTGTTGGATCAAAGCTCTACATTGTCTTCAAGATGAAGGAATTGGTAGCAGCTCTAATAATGCCTCGAAGGTGACCTTGAAAGAAAGATTTAAGAACTTCAATGCATGCTTCGAAGAAACATACAAGACTCAAACTGGTTGGAAAGTCCCAGATCCTCAACTTCGTGGAGAGCTTCGATTATCTATATCAGAGAAAGTAATTCCAGCTTACCGATTCTTCTTCGGGAGGTTCGGGACTGCTAGATAGTGGAAGACATGCTGGAAAATACATTTAGTATACACCAGACGATTTAGAAAACTATTTATCAGATTTGTTTGAAGGATCTCCACTGGTTCTTCACCATGTGAGAAGAAAGGGTTCATAGTATCAGAATCTCGTTACAGGTATGGCCCTCATGCTCATCAACATCTGGCTGAAGCAAGAATTTTCACATATATAAACCTGGTAACGTGTTTATTATTTAGTCTGTTTGTTGTTATAAATTCAGGTTTTGTGTAAGAAGCGATTACCCTTCATATATTGTATAAATGCATATTTATGGTCTATAGTTGCTCTGTGTGGGGATTTCTCTTGGTTCATTTTCGGAAATTACCATTAACCTTGTGGCAGTATATACTACTATATATATCTATTATTCTCTTGCAAATAAAATTCCAGAGTGCCTGAATGTCTGAGAGCATAACGAAAGCTTCTGACTCTGTAATATCTAACTAATACTGATGCCTATTATTTGTAGGATTGAAACCAATAGCTATATTTTGGTTTTGAACAGACCTGTCAATGTTGACCCGAGTCTGAAGCCAGTCGAACTCGATTTGACCATAAGCATTCACAATCCAAACCTGCCCAGTTTGAAGCCTAATACAAAATGATTCGAATCTGGAGTAACCCGAACTCGACTGACAAACGCAAATGCAAAAACCCTAAAAGAATTGACCCCAAAACTAGGACGGGTAAATCTGATGAAGTTGCAGTTTAATTAACTTCAATGGAGACGTCCTGACCAAAACCGAAAATCAGGACAAATCATAACACGGTTCGAGTACGAATTTAGCTCAATTCGCTTATGCATGCATCCTTAATTATCTAAATGTATCTCTCATATTTTATTATTGCAACTTCCATTTGCACAGTTTGGATCCAAATAATACTTAATATCTGTGCCCCTCTTTAGCATTTTTTATATTTTGGCACACAAAATTGAATGGATTAGAAACTAGGTTGAACAAATATACAGTTCATGGCAGCAAGAACAATCTACGAAGCGCCGGCAACAAGAGGGACATGAAAGTTGAAGCCGGACCACCCTGCTTCCGGGCAACAGGAAATCGTAAGTACAACCCACATGGCTTCATAAATTATGGTGCAAATAAACATGCACCGTCTTTTCTTTTACAGCAGGAACTCGCTGGCTGTTGTTTGGTCTCAAGATTGCATTAATGGAACTTTCTTTAGACCAGTTCATTTGTCATATTTCCTATTCACGAATAAACTGCAGGTCCATTTGATCCCTGATTGATTAGTCATTCATTCATCACGTCCTCTGGTGGTCCATTTGGTGGTTAATGTAGCATTTTAGCAGGCCAGAGATAAAATTAGGTTCATGGTTTGTTGGCCAGCTAAGAGCATGCTCTTGATGGCTAACGAAATGAGAAAATGAATGGCGTAGATCGATCGAGATTGGGATCTAAAAACCAGATCTGACCAGGAAGTTCAACCGATTGGTCTGGTTGATCCAGCATTTAGAATCGGCTGGAATCGGTTGAATGATTGAATAGAATAATTTAAAGTGTTTAATTCGAATTCTATATTCAAGTTCTTAGAAAACTCGAATCATTCAATTCGAAGTTAAAAAATTTAATCTGCTTTTTTTGGTTGAAGTTGATTCCAAAGCTTCTTAGAGGCAACACACCATCAAAGAAATCACCAAAGTATCCAGGTGATTCGTATACTAACCTCGAAATGATATCTCGAAGCATGACCACTCCTGAATTCCCATTGTCATCCCCGAGTCAAGCGTCTGAATCAGTTGTTTGACCGTTTGGTCTGTTTTGCAGGTGATCATGCCATGCCACTCAACACTGGTGATCTCATTTCGTGTTCCTCCAAGTGCTTTTTAACTGCTATTAGTGAATTGTTGCAGCATAATTTCATCACTGGCCTGTAATGTAATCAAGGTAGATCTCCGGTGCAGTGAAAAAGGAACTATATATCTCTAAGGCTTATGTTACCGATAACATTTTTCCTTCACCGTCAACAACTGGTAAGGTGCCGAATTTTCTTTCTACTCATTAACTTAAGGTCATTACAAATTTAATAACTGAATTTTACTACCTCTCCTATTTCACTCAGTATACTTTAAGAGTTTTCAATCTAATCACTCAACTTTGAACATTGAACTTAAATATTTTTTAAAGGTTACTGATTTTGCTGCCAAGTGCCTACACGAACGTAAATTCATGATCAATGTTCGGTCCAAGCAACAGAAGCAGAGAAAGAAAAGATTTAATTGAAGCATACGTAGGGAGTTTTTAGCAGTAAAGATTTGTGTGCTGGCATGGAGGGCCCATTGTTAGACTTAAGCTTTATATCAGTGTGAATTTGTTCCTTGAAAGCCGCTCCATAAATCCTCTAAGGAAACTTACTCTTTTTCAAATCATCTTCAATATCAGTCAATGGTTTCTTGAGACAGACCGAATAAGATAAAAACAAGAAGCTGAGATTGATTCTTTAACAAAACTTTCAGTGTGGTGCTGCAAAAAATAAAAATAAAATATATGGTACTTCAAAAGAAGGAATTTACTTTTTTTTTTTTATCAAATATAAATTAGAAGAAAATACATCAGAATCAATGTACAATTCTTCTGCAGGCTCGAGTCATGAATTGTCGGAAAAAATATTTACAAAATCATTTCAAATTTAAATTTATCTATATCGTTATAATATCGAAGCAATTATTGGGAAACAAATAAACACGATCGAAAAAGAAAAATAAATAACACCAAGATTTACGTCGAAAATCTAAAAGGAAAAAACCACAAGTACAGGATAAAAGAAAAAAAATACAAGAGGAGATTTTGGTGATAAAAAAACTTGATATTTAACCCTTTACCCTTACTATCTATTTATAGAGCTAGTTAATTGATTACAAAGGAAAACTAAATAGAGTAAAAATCTATTTTAATAAAGTTATCTACTTTTAATCAAACTAGGATTTTTATTTTATCAAATTTAAATATTAATTAATTTGTGCCACTTTAAATTCAAGTCAAACTTTAACAAATCTCTACAATGACACAAATTTTGAAAGTGCGAAGGTTTCAATATAAACACTCAAATTCGATGAGACACCCAAACTCAACAAGAAAAATAATTCTTCACTTCAATGAAAAGTTCTCCACCTCTTCCACAACACCGCTCAAATGGGTAATATTCAGTAATGGATACTGACCAAATCCAACATTTTTCTAAGCTTGGATTTAGCCTTCACATCATCATGACTATCATAAGTGCCAACGTTGCTCACAAATGTATCACCACGAGCAATATCATGCACAACATAGTCCTAATCATCAATGATAATTCTATCTTCAAATTCGTTATACCCACGAAATTGAACTATTTTATTTCACATAACCGTTCTTCCCATGGTTATCTTGTTCAACAAAAAATCTTCTTTTGCTAGATTTAGTCAAAATGTTTTACCAATAACAACGTTATTTGACACGTTGAATAAATCAGTTGTATTATCTAAAACTATTAAACCATGTAGAACATAAAACTTGACAATCTTTCTCTGCCCTTTCATCACAACAAGAGAGCCCTTGCAAATCTTTATATTTCTACATTCATTGGAGAATTTGTAGCCTTTTGAATCCAGGTACCTAACGAAATTATATTTATACTCAAATATGGAGAATGACTCACATTACCAAGTGTTCGAACAACCCATCGAATATCTTAATCTTGCTTGTGCCAATACACGACTTTACAAGAGATTATTTCCAAAAATACATCACATGTAGGTACAACTTTATACGTCGTAAATTAGTCACGGTTAAGACTGACATGAAAACTGCTACCAGATTCCAGTATCCATTCCTCAGTTGTTATAGAGTTGTCATCAGCTACAACTATGAGTTCTCCGTCATTGCACCCCTCTACTACACCGATTTCACAAGATTTTCTCGAGTTTTACTCTTCTGTTTTTATTTTAATTTTACTATGTAACTTGTAACACTCCGATTTAACATGACCTTTCTTTTTACAAAAGTGACAAGTTTTACCTCGATTGTAAGATTTTGATCTATCTCTCCCTTCATTACTAGAAGAAAGCTCGCCTTTTCTTTCATGGTTTGAGCTAGTTGATCCATGCACCATGGGACCCTCTGCCTGGAGCTCGGAACTAGATACAAGATACTTATCTTGTCAAATGAGTGCAGATTATTGTATATCCCTTCAAGAGTGAGTGTTTCATGACTGTACAAATTTGTGTCTCTAAAAGATTAGTAGGAAGGAGGCAGTGAACACAAGAGGATCAATCCTAAATCTTCTTGATCATACTTCACTTCTGAAGTCTCCAAATCAGAGAAAACTTCCTTAAATACGGTCAGGTGCTCTTCAGGAGACGAATCTTTTGCCAACTTAAACGAATAAAGACACTTCTTTAAGTGTAACTCGTTGATAAATTTTTTTGCATGTATATTTGCTCCAATTTCGTCCTTAAAGAAGCATCATTTTTTTCTTTCAACACATCCTATAATATTTGATTTGATAAGTGTAAATGGATCTGAGATAGTGTTTTACGATCCTTATGTTTTTCTTCGTTTATCCAATATGACAATTTCTTCTTATCAAACTCTTCCAATGCATCATCTAAGTCCAATTGTGCAAGGACATTCTGAATCTTCATCTACTACGACAAGAACCTAGTGTTTCGATCTAACAATGAAATATCATACTTTATTCTTACAATAATATTGAACTGAAGCTCTGATACCAATTTGTTATAATATCGAAACAATTATCGGCAGACAGTAAACACGATCGAAAAAAGAAAAATACAGAACACCAAGATTTACATGAAAAACCCAAAAGGGAAAAACCACGGGCAGATGAGAAAATTTCACTAATATGAATGAATAAAATACAAAAGAATTTGGTGAAATAAAAACTTGATATATATCCTTTTACCCTTACTATTTATTTATATGGATAGATAATTGATTACAAAGAAAACTAAATAGAGTAGAAATACTTTAATGAGGTTATCTATCTTTAATCAAACTAGGATTTTTAATTTTCCCAAATTTCAATATTAATTAATTTGTGCCACTTTGAATTCGAGTCAAATTCTAACATATATTAAGACATTAAATTGAAAACCACGCTGTTAAATATAAAAGGTCATGCAACCAAAGCCAAATCTAGTTTTGGGAAACACAAGAAACATGTCATTACAAATAATCCCCACCATTAATGGAAAAATATTCATAACTTGATCCATTTCCTTCTCGTACCCCAAAAACACATTTGGTAACTCTATGATCCGAGAAAGCAATCTCCATGCATGAACACCAACACACACATGATGGCATGAACAAATATGTAAGTCTAACCTTGTACATGTCATTTTTTTACAATTCGACTTCGAGATCATGCTTGAAAAGAGCCAGTCCCCTAGGCATCACGAAACTATAATAAATCGTTCTGAATGAAACCCCAAAACCATTGATGAAGTGGAAGAAGCAAGAGAGAACGTAGAGGCCTGAGAGGGAGTAAATCATGATGGTGGTAAGATGGTTGCAAACATCATAGCGGAAATAGAAGGCAAAACCAATTTGAAATCTAAAGAATGCATGTCAGTGGGAAGTTGACAAGTATGAAATTTTTGGATATGGTTTTTTGAACCCATTTGGCCATGACTTTCCACTTCTGACTAGGATTCAATGGCAATTGAGGGAGAGAACATCGTGTAGGGTTCTCTTTTGGTGGTGTTGCAGAGTAAATTTTGATGCCAATTCCGTGGTCAGTTTTCTTTATTTTGTTTTTGGGTATCATTATTTTTAACTTGCACCTTATTGGGATATTAAAACAATTTTGAGAGCACGTCGATAACTACTTTCAAGATAACTTGAAAAGAATATCTAGTCATTTTTTAGGAAGCAATAGAAGAATGTTATGAACTAAGGTGTGAGAATAAGAAAGTAGAAGATAGACAAAGAAGAGCTGAGGGGTTTTAGAAATGTGAAAACATCATTCATTCATTTTTTTAATATTTTCTCTGTAGTACATAATAATATTAATTTACAATGCACTAGATTCTTTCCAACTAGCCATTCTCTAACAAATTTGTACAGGTGTCCACCTATTTTGAACTTTACTCGACATGCATTCTCTTCTCTAGTCCAGGTATGCTTGATAACTCTCCAAAAGAGTTATCATTTAGAAATCTTTTACCTAGGATAGCTTGAACTTGAGCATTTTTAGGAACATTTTAGGATCGTTTTTTTTACTTATTTTGCATTATTTGCATAATGGGACTAAGCTGGGGGCATTACTTGATGTTGTAGATAATGTTGTGATGTTGTGTTAGTCTGATAAATTGTTTTGTAGCATTTGGTGATTCACCAAAAAGATTAGAGAACCTTCTAGATGGGATAGCTGGAAGAAGACAACTGTTAAAGGCTCTAGAATCACCTAAATTATGGCGAAAAAACCATTGATTGGGGTCTATTTCCTCCACCTATAAATAGAAGTGCTCTTATCATCATTTGATAATCGAATTCTACATCTCTATTGGGATTCAACATGGCTTGTTGTTTCGTATTTGAAAGAGGAAAAATGATATTATGAATGTTGAATGTTTATTACTTTAATTTTGAGTGTCGAACATAAAATGTTTGATTAAATGCTTATATGATGGTTTTTGATTATTTGAACTATGTTTATAATATTGTGGTTTTAATATGATGTTGATTAGAGATAATAACATTTTTGCATGTGTTTTTTGATTAATTTTATAGATGAAATTAATTAAGGTTGCATGTTAGTTTGTTACAACATAGGTGCTTACGAGAGTAGCATATCCATATAGAGATATAGTATACCTATGATTATGCTTGATTATGAACTTATGATATTTTTAATGAGAATTAGAAGTTTAATATTGTGGATTAATCTTAGCATAATTCATGAACATAGTGTTTTAGCATTACTATTATGATAGTAGCCCAAGAATAATAGCATATTAGGTCCATTGATTTTTAATGCTCATTTGATTGTTGTAGTTTCCCTTGCTCTTTAACATTGATATTTCTACCATTTACATTTGTTTGTCAATCATCAACTTCAACTCTTAATTGCTAAACTTGAACTCCACTGTAATCAAATTGCTCCTTGTGGGTTCGACATCCGTAGCATTATTTTGCTACCACTTTATTACTTGTTTGACAGTGTATGCTTGCACTTTGCTATAGCATTTACAAAACATCATGTTTTTGGCATCGTTGTCGAGGAACATCAGTTTACTTTAGAGTTTCTTAATTAGTTTACTTATTGTTTATTTCATTTTGTAGGTACTCAATTTTTCTAGATTCATTGGTGTATGCACCGAAGTGACAACGAACTAGAGTCGTTCGATCTAGAGATAGAAAGAACCTTTCGAAGATGTCGAAGAGAGTTTCCCAAAA